TTATTATATATATATATATATATATATATATATATATATATATATATATTAAGTTTTTATGATCTCTTCAATGATATTTAATTTGAATTTTTTTTTCATTTATAACCTCAATTTCTTTTGGTTTAAATATAAATATTCATTTTTATTTAAAATTATTGTTTTTAAATTTTTGATAATGTATTATTTATAATTTTATAGAATTAAATAATAAAAATACTTCTTTCAAATTATTAAAATTATTTTTCTTTAGAAGTTATTAATATATTGATTAAAATCTTTAAAACTTTCAGAATTCTAGAAACATTTTATCGTTTAGATTTAATTTAACATATATTTCTCCAGCATTTTTTTTTTTTATTGAAAAAAAAACAAAATTGTCTGACCTAATTATCTAAAATATCCTGTTTTAAATACTAGGTACACAGCATAATCAATTACTCATATCCCCTTACCATCGTTCAGAATGTGGCGGCCTTGCAGACTCTTTGATTAGCAGCTGATCATCATTTAGAATGGCCAAGCCATTTTCTTGATGAGAAATTCTAGTAGTTCCTCTAGTATTATTTCTTTACTAGGGTAGGTCTGATATCGAAAGTTGATACATCAACGAACTAAAACGTGCCATTTTTCGTGATATTCGTGTGCGTATGCTTTTTTTAGGTCACGTGACTCGAGTACAGTCGAGGGATTCATGATAGGAAATGAGATGACTGCGTGCTGAAGATTTTTTGACGAATTTAAAAACTGAATTTTTAATTAAAGTAAAATGATTTTTACACATATAATAGTAATGCCTCTGTGTTTGCGATTTCCTTATACTAATGCATTTCCTTTGATTTAAACGAAAGATTTAATTTTAAATAAGAAAACGTTACTTTGCATTAGGTTATGTATAAGCTTAAACTTTAGTTATTATGATTAAACATTTTATTGTTATTAGAAGTTTAAGTATATATTCATTGTTATATATGTTTATGATAATCTTAGAATTTCAGATATAATTCGTAAATGATTCTCCTTTTAGTTTGCACCGAGCAAGTTAACTAGAGGTAATGAAAACGCACTAATCTGTAACTTAAGATAACCTAACCTAAATTCTATTACTTTATTATTATTCACGACTGAAATTATCTAACTTTTTGTAGAAGAATTTATTTTTACACTGAAAAAAATTTGATAAATCTTTATTGATTAAAATAGATATATTTTCCGTCTGTTTATTCTGAAAGAAACTAGTTTATTTTTTATCTTTTTCTCGACCTTTTCATCTTTCTATTCCTAACTTCTCAATCTCTTCACCCCTTTTTTCGGGATTGAATTTTTTGCCATGCGTGCGAGTTTCAAGAAAAAGTTTATATCATTTTTAAAATTTCTTTAAAAGTAAGTAAATTAAGTAAAATTTATATTTTAGAAATTTGCAAAAAATAAATTACGAGAGTTTGATTTTTTAATTTTTTCATTACAAAAAAAAATTGTTTTGAGAAAAATTTGAAAAGAAATTTCTCTTAAAAATTGAAATTTTTAATTTGATTAATTTTATTTTATTTTTTATTTTTAAATAATTTTTTATCAAATTTCTCTTTTCTGTTTAAAATGTATTTAGTGCAAAAGTTTTTATTACAAAGAAGATAGTATCTGAATACAATTTTACATGCATTTCAAACTGAAACGAAGATGATGTCTCTTCTCTTTTTTATTAGATTTCCAATTTTCATGCATAAATGTTTATCTTCAAAAGAGTTCAGGTAAATAAGATGACAGCAGTTATCTCGCTATGAAAATTCTTGAACAGCTTATGCATTTGATGCGATTATAATGCAACAATCGTCGTTCCTTGAAGCTACAAATACACGCAATTATGTGACTAGAAATATTATTTGATTTCTAAAACGAACGACCATGGTCTTGTTAATTTGATTTAAAAATTTAAATAACTTTATAAATATTTATTAAGAAATGAAACGGAATATTTTCTCGCTTTACATTTAAATATTTTTAAAAATATTCTTCACTAGTAAGAATGCTTAATTTTTCTAATTAAAATATTCGAAATACGAATTCAATTTTTTCACAAAAACGAAAAAAAAAAAAAATACAATTTAATTGCTAAAATATTATTCTTGATTTTATTATACGCGGAAAAATTATATTTTCCTAAAATATTTTTTAAATCACGTTTTGTTGTTTTTTTATTCTCGTAAAATGAATTTATTATCATAAATTTAATTACCCAGCATTTTTAATTCGAATTCGTTTCCCATCCATTATATTTAAATACATGAAACGTCAAATGATCAGTTCTCGTGATTAAACACGTTCATCTATTCGTCAGTGTGGTTGAATACTTGACACAAAAAGGAAAAGCAATTTCCCTTAGACACTGTCACACGATGCGAAAGAACAGAAGATTCTTCTCTCAAAATTATACTCTTGTAGTCGTTCTTTTTCCTTTATCGTCGAAACTTGGAATATTTCCAGCAATATCCCCGCTAGTAAGGGGATACTATTGAAAATATTAATATTAAACATCAAATAATTAAAAAACCGGTATTGATTCCTTTTGTAAAACAAGCTCGACTATTTTTTTTTTTTTTTTTTTTAAATAAACCATTGTCCATTGAAAAGACAGTTTTAATATATGTGAAAAGAAAAAAAAAAAGAAAATACTTTTATTCGATAATTACTTATGCCACGAAAAAATTATTCTTTAATTATTATTTAAATGTCGTATTTGATAGTTTAATTGTAATAAATAAAATGTTCAGATAGAGAATTTAAATAAATTATGGGGAGAGAAAAAATATTTTCTAATTTTATTGTAATTACTAGTAATTGTATTAGTACAATGACGAATAAAAGTTTCATTTTATACGTTGAATTACGAGTTAATAAATTTTCAATTATCCCTTTTAAAACCTTTTAAATAAAGACACGAGAAATACGAGGTAAGTGTCATCTTTTAATACTACTATTGTGGCAGAATATTGGGTCAAATCAATATTAGATAATCCCAGTTTTCCAGTTATAACGTGTTCGCAGAGTTGATGGGAATTCTACAGCTATAAGAGCAATAAGAGTTTAAGAAGAATTTCACACTTTCTCGCCTTTCAAAACTCGTCTAATTATTTCTTCTAAACGCTCTCGCGCGTTGATTAAATAATTAATCAACGTGTCAACGATCCACTCCAAAATCATTTCATTGAATTTAGCAAGCAAACAATTTCTGAAACTTTAACTATTATTTTCGAATCTTCCGAATTTTATTATATATCGATATATGAACGATAAATACACTTCACATTAAATATTCGTTAATTCCATTTAGAAATTTTACTTTTTAACATAGATGTAAATAATCCCGTTTCTAAATTATGCATATACATTTATCCTCGTAAATTCATTGAACTACATAATTACAATTGAATATCAATTATAGCATCATCCAAGCATATTTTAATCCTCAAATTTTGTTCAAACTTTATTTCAAACAAATATTACATAATTTTATTAAAACTATTCTTTCCTCTCGTTTCATTATTCATCTTCGATACAATCTTTTCCACTTTAATCGAATAATTTTTATGTATACGAAGGAAAGATTCATGGAGTCGAGTTAAATTTTTAGACAAAAAAAAAATACAAAGCAACGTTTCTCGCGTTAAGCTGGCCCGGAAGAATCGATCTTGCCTCGAGGATGTTGGCCAAGTACAACGTTTACGGCCGCGTGAATGCACCGTCATGGCGAACATCCTGAACCGGTCATCCGGTTGAATCATTTCGTCTGCTGCGAAAAGGAAAAGCGTGCAGCCACGCAATGCTCGACGAAAGTAAAAATGGATCCGATTCTGCGTTAAATCTGCTTAAACCAACGTTTCTCAATCTTTCGAATTGTGAACGTTTCGTAATATTAAAAAAAAAAAATCTGCGAATCTTTTTTAATTGTAATGAAATGATAAAGGAGTAATTTTCCTCTTAAAATATGCAATATTGTTGAAATTTTGAATATTAAAGGGAGAAAAGATTTCTGATGACTTTTTTGTCATTTTTAACGAAATTCATTGAATACTTCCATTACCATTATTTATTATACATTTTATTAGTGTTACTTGAAACGTGATTGATTACTTAACGAAATAAATAAACGCAGCATTTTCTGCTTCAAAAGTTGGAAATAGACCAAGAATCGAAATTAAATGGAATAAAATAAATATTTACACAAAATTATGTCCACGAAAGGCGTGTTAGATTGTCATGTAACTCTTTAATATAAAAAAATTTTCAATCAAAATTTAATTTTAATATAGATATTAATAAAATAACTGATAATCGAACGAAAGTTAAAGTTATAAGATGAAACAATGGAAAATTAATATAAACAGGGGGACAAACGTTTTGGAAAGTTCGATCACTTTCGAACAACGATAAGTTATCGAGTATCGAGAACGCGACAAGCACTCTCAACGATGCAGTTACTTTTAACAAGGTTAACAAGTTATCGCAACTTTAACGTGATATAACTCGATATAGAGAAAAAACTGTATATTATAACTAAAATTTCGAAATGTTTCATCTTTCAGATCTCGTCGGTCTGATTAAATGCCAATCTAATTAAATGTTTCAACGTTTGAAGTACCACTCCTTGAAAATTACTAAACTTGTATATATTTATCTTAAGATGATCAAATTTATATTTTACTTAGTAATCAATCCTAACTAATTTTTCTCATAGCTAATAAGAAGAATAATAATTAAATAATACATAGATACGTAAGTAATACAAAAAAGATATATTATATTTCTTCTTTAAATATTCACTTCAAAGTTACCGGAAGCGATAATTGGCGGAAATGAGAGGCACGGATCGATTAATGTCCTCTAACCGATAAAGAAGCCGATCAATTCGCTTGATGAATAAAAATTAATCGACGAAAGTACAAATCAATATTATTAGATAATAATCCATTATTAACGAAATTAACAAATTTAATGTTTTGCCATGCCCACGTTTCGATAGTGGTGGAAAATTAATGGACCGACGTCCATTTAAGCCGGGCTGCGTGCGATGGACGAGTTCAACGACCGAGAGTATCCATCGACAAATCGAGCGGATCCATGTCGATTAGAAATTCGCGAGAAATCGCGCAGACAGACAGAGGGGGGCCAACCTCCGAGACGTTTGCAATTTCCTCTTCGCGGTGTTTGTAACTCAAGAGAGTCAAGGTACTTTACACGCTCAATTTCCATCGCGTGTCGCGCGAAAGTGCATCATCACCACAATTTCAATTTCTCATTTCTGCGTTTAAATTTATTCGTGTATGAAAGTGTACATCTCATGGATGTATAATTCTAATGATATAGAATGATATGGAACTGCACGGTATCGTATATTGAGATGGAATACTTTTTTTTCACTTACTTTCGCGAGTGGTATTTTTATAATATCTTTGAGTGACAGAATTGATGGTTAGAAAGGAGTTGGTAACGTCCAAGTTATTTTTTTGAAAAAGAGAAAAATAAAAAATTAAAGTTAAATTTGTAAAAATTATATTTTTGTGGATTTTTTAAATTTAATGTATAGGAATTGGATCAGATATAATTTTTTTTTTCTGTATAATATTTTATTTAAAATTGAAAGATCTTTTTTTTTTGAAAAACTTCTAAATTATTATTTTACATTCTCAACATTTTTCTTTGAAATAGTGTATGAATATGAATATTTTAAATTGTTTTAAAGTATGATAATTAAACATGAAAAGTTTTTCTATTTTGATATATGAATCATTAATGATAATAAAAAAATCATTGTTTTGTCCTTGAGCAAAAAGTGAATGATCTCATGTTGAAAGTGTCGATGGAGGAGAACTGTTACATTCATGCAAGATTAACAGAATCATGAAACAGAATAAACATATTTTGTAATATTAAATCCTTATACATCTTCCTCTATTTAATTATAGCTCAACACAAATATCACATTTTCTTTAATATATATAATGTCTAGATTTTAAAATATCTAATTGTTATTTTCAATCTTTTCACATAATTTCAATGGCGATTAGAATAAATGAACAAATAGTTTAATATTTGAATCTATTACCAATTACCAATCCAACCAACCAATTGAATGGTCAATAATAAATTCATGAATGGGTTCACTGATTAGTTTTTCACCGTAACATTTATGTTATAAGTAGATATATCTTTTCAAAAATTTTTAGTTGAAAAGCTTTGTTATGTGACGCTATATATGTTCTCTGTTTAGCACACTGAAATATAACTAGTTATTTACGTTTTTATTGTATGATATTAAATTGCTTATAACTTGAAAAATAAATCTCATTCATATTATTTTATTTTTCGGTATCTACAATCTTTCAAAGATATATATAACACATACTCACATTTTTCACTCTATGAGTGATTCTCAATTTGTGAATAGCAATGATTTTTAAATAATCGCTTCTTTCTTCATTTTTAAATGATTTTTAGTATTTATTTATGTTAATATAATTACATTGCCATATTCTTCAAACCTAGAAAAAAGAATGATTATGTTATGATAATTATTTTTTAATTTCCTACTTTATATGAGAATTGCAATTGATTGAATGTTACAAAAAGAAAATAAGTATGTAATATTTAGTATATATATCCATTAGTAATCATAATTTAATCAATAATCTAGAGACGAATGAACATAGAGATATTGATTTATAGAAGGTTCTATAAATTAATAGAGAATTAATTTCGGGAACATTCTCTTTCCACAGATATTTGCATTGTACTTCCTTTCTAGAAACTTTGTTCTCTATATCAGCATGCATTTTTTAAACTTTAAATTCACCGAATTCCATATTCAATATGGAAATATTCATCGATACGATATATATTTTTAATTCTTCAATTTTATTTTACGCTCCAATTACGCAACCATTATTAATTCTAAAATTAAATTTTTTAATTTTCATCAATTTGAATATTTTTATTAAGAATTTTTGATTGTCATTCATCCTGACGAATATTAATTTTGTATTAAAAAAGCAAAGATTAAAAGACTAATTATTTCAAAATTGTTCGATCTATACGACGAAGCATGAATTCCTGTTAATTGTCAAAGTAAAATCGAAGAAGAAACGATAGAATTTGAACAGCTGAAAGATAAAAAAAAAAAAAGAAAAAAGGAGACAAATATTTGAACGATTTGAACAGAAGGCACGAGGAAAGGTGGTATCAAATAAATTATGCGTCACAAGTTGGAAACAAGAAGGATGAGGGCACATCAAATGCTCAAAGAGCGTGTCTTTGGGAAACCGAGCAGACGGGGATCAGCCGTAAGCGTTTTTAAACGGCCGACATTTTTCTCCTTTTCCAAGATCTTTGTGCTTCGTGTCGCAGAAAAAGTGACGCTTTTATGTGGCGAAGAAACACTTGAGCCTCGAAAATACATTCATTTAGAGCGTGCAACAGGTATATTTTCATACTTCAATTTTATAAATACATATCTCTTTGAAATATTCTTAAAGATATAATTACAGATGATTAAGTCTATCAAATTGTAATTTTGATAACAATTTTGGAATCAATATAACATTGATATATTAATTGATAATTAAATTAATTGAATTTAATATTTTTCATGAAGAATTATATTGGATATATCTCAAAAAAATATTCGGTAAAAAGTAAACAGAATTTTAATTTCTAGAAAATTTTTTTGAATTTGGAAATAATAATTAGCAGTTGAAAATAGAATCTATAAAAGTATAAAAGTTCATTAATGGTAACAGATCATATTCGATAATTTTTCTATTTAAGTTTTTACTTTATGCTTCGTTGCTTGAAATGATTTTAATTACGGTCTGTTTCTTTAGAATTGTGATTTTTTTTATAACTTTTTTTTTCGGATTTAATCATTTCGATAATTATATATCCATTTTCTTAAGAATATTTTTCCTAAGGAAATTAATTTTTGATTTTTCTTCTGATTTTCAATAATTTTTTTTTAATTATATATTTTTTTGAAAAAAAATATTTTCAATGTATCAATAATTCGAAATTTCCAATATTTTTATTATATATTTGATATTAAATTGAACAAAAAAATTGTTTTTCAACTTTCTCATATGTTTTTCGAATATTTAAATGTTCAATTAATTTTCACTGTTATTAAACATTTTCTTAAATAAACGAATTAATTAAAACAGTTGAATAATTTCTATTTTATTTTATAGTTTAAATCTGTTCGCTCCAGAAACGCTTGTTCAAGACATTAACTTCTTTTCAAGAGTTTAAGAAGCGATTAGAAACACATCTACAAAGCAAATCTCAATGAAATTTCCAAGTATTTCACAAAGGAAGCAATCAAATTATTCTGAAACTTCCTTTCAATATTTTGCACTTGTCATGGTCTATAATTATCATCAAAAAGCAATCAGAAGTGAATTTCCTACCTGATATGTTTTATTAATAGATTTCAATTTTTCTTTCTTTATAAAAGATCGATCAATTCGATGTCTTGTAAATCCATCACTTTTTATAATTTTAATCTTATTTTCTTTCACATTACTTGATTAGATTGTCAATTTTTATTCTACATATAGGAGAAATGAATGAAAATAACCTGTTCGTCTATATGTATAGGTTAACTCTAGTGAAAGTTACATATCAGAGTTTTTCTTTTTCATGAAAATTGTTTAGAAGACGAATCAAACTTTTTTTTCATCATATTTTATACAAAGCTTACATTACAGTGCGTAAAGTATTTCAACTCTCTCTACTTACCAATTTTTAAAGTTTCAAAACAGCTATTGAAAATGTGTCAATTTCTCACGGAACAATATTGTATTGTACTGTATATGTTTCGAGCAGTGATCCAATATTTCCTTTAAAGAAAAGATCAATTAAATCCCTTTGATGTTTCTTGATTACTCATTATCTTATGTTCTATCTCCTCAAAAAGTTGTTATTAATTGAGATTATTAATTTTTTTCGCAATTTTTAAAATCTTCTATTGTTTTAATAATATTGGAAGATATAAGATTTAGAGGTTAAGTTACTATTGAATTGCACATGATTTGAATATTAATAAGTTAAATTTGAATTTTTTCTTTTCGTGGACAAAATAAATTTTCTTAACACTTTCTCTAGGTAAGTTATTCGATATAAATCATTTTTATTCAAGTTTCATTCGAAAATATTCTGTTTTTTTAATAATTAAAAAATTATTTCAAATTGAAATCGTTTTTTTATTTTAAAAAAAATCTCATCTAAAAACATATATTTCAATTATTGCACCAATTAGAAATTTTTTATCAAAATTATTGAAAATCATTAAGAATTTCTATCGATACAATTCAATTGTATTTTATTTCTAAAAATCAAACTAATCAATTCCATTTAATATTTCATCGCAATTTATTTGACATCACATATAATTTCATTTATCTACCTGAAAAATGAACAATTTGTTTTTTAACTATAAAATTATTAGAAACTTATATAAATTTTAATTTATCATTGAAAATGTACCTAATGTACCTATGCTTAAAACTTGTTCATGCATTTCTTTTTCAAATTTATTATTTCGCGTTTCCGAAACTTTCACTCAATATATTGAGTATTCTCTTTAATCTCATTTATATCGAGAATTTCACTTTTATAACATATGTATTTTTTATAGAAATAAAAAATATTCGATAAAACATTCAATTATTTGACATTATTATTAACATTAGTTTTAAATTTATTAATTTTATTTCATTTAAAATATAAAATCATTTTATATTCGATCATTTAACAAATTTTATTGTTTTTTTTTTTTTTAAGAAAGAAATTAATTATTTTAATCAAAACTTCTATTTATTATTATACAATATAAAATTTGAAATTTATATACTTTTCAATATTATAGAATTTTTTTTCATAGAAAATTTTAAATCAAACTTTAAATAAATCATAAATTATTCTTAAATTATTTGCTATGAGAAAATATTTTAAAATTCATATAGAATATGTAACAATTTGTAATCAATTTTTATTATTTTCTTTTTTTATTGAGATATAAAGAATATTGAGTTTTGAAATGGAATGATTTTCAATTTGATTCAATTTGATTTTCAATGATGAATTTTTATTCTGTATATTCTTAATAATAAATATAAAATTTCATATATAATTTTGCATTTTTAAATTCTCCATAAAAGCATAAAATCCATAGTTTTATTTATCATATTTAAAGATAATTTTGTTTTTTTTTTAAATTAATATTCTTAAACTTGTGTCACTTTCAAAGTATAATATATTTATTTTATATGTTTATATGTGAACTGTATGTATCGTGTTAAGTAATACCCTCATATTTTTTCACAAAAATCCATTATACGAAATTCTTGATGCATACTATGTAACCTACATATATCTATGCACGTGTCGAAACAGTTGCAAAAGTAACGTTAAATATTTGATATATTTTATTATTCTATACCTAAGTCTTCTATATCTACTACATATATATTGTATTTATACATACATATAATTTAATCTGAAAATAAATAAAAATTTACGAGAAATTTCTTTAAGAAAAAAAAAAAAGAAAAAATAAAAATATTGAGATTTTGAAATTTCGAAAGTTTCAAACTTTTGCGAAGTTTCGGATTGAAGTTTCGCGAATTTAATAAAATTTCATTCCATTTTATTTAAAATAAGAAAAAATATCATATAATAAAATTAATAAATAATAAAAAATTATAAACAAACTACCAAAAAAATATATCAAAAACTACTTAGACAAATATTTTTGCAACCGATTGTACATATTTCGTTTCGGTTTCTTCCATTCAAAAATCTTTGCGATTTCAGAATTTTTATCAAAGAGATGTTGATCTGGGAAAAAGCTGCTTTTCCTGCATAGACGAAAATGATTGGAGAACGCTATTGGCAGAGGGCAACGTTTCACTGAAAATCTCGTACTGTGACGCATCATCGAGGCGATTCGTGGTATGAATACGGGCAACCGGTTCGTTCTAATAACCTACTCCCACGAGGGTCTGTGCACGCTGAAAAGCAAAGTCGAGTTCAGTTGTCGGCTGACCGGGGTCCGGGCCTGTACCGTGGGGCCTGATACGCCGATGCCAGTGCCGTCTACTGTCCTCGCAGAGAAAGCTGGGCCTTCGTTCCTTTCGCGCACACGGTACGTGGATCGAGCAGACTTTTGACCCTGAATACCGGTTCGGTGTCGGGTTCCGGTTGTGCTGGGTGGAATTATCGGAGGGTTTTATTGTGCGGGGAGAAAGGATAGTTGAAAATATTGTGTATGATTAGAGAATAGAGTATGTTAGAAATTGTTTAAGTGGTAGATTGATATTGTATTTTGAGAATTGTTTAATTTTTTAAATATATCGTTTTTAAGAATTTTGTTTGATTGATTAAAAGATTTGAAACTTTTTGATTGAATTATTTTTAGAGGAGATTTGTGTATATTTGGTTATATTATGATATGAAAAATTTTTCTTGATTTGGATGAAATATTATTGTAATAATAATTTTGAAATATATCAATCTTGGTGATAACATTAATGAAATAAGTTTTTGATAGTATAATGTTTGAATAGAATAGAATAAAATAATGAATAAGTATATTTCAATGATATTATTCTTGTAAGGAAAAGTTAGTGAAGAAGTGTTGAGAATTAATGAGATAGGCTATGGATATGTATTAGTAGCACAGTGTATGAATAAAGTGCATGAAAATGAGGTATTAAGTGTTACATTGAATCTGTATTGTTGGAATAATTATATTGAAACTGTTTGGGTAAGACTGACCCATATGGATCAATATTATATCTAAAATTCCATTCAATAATATAACAAATAAGTTGTACAACAAATAATTGCTAACAAAATTTGTACGAGGTACAGAAAATATTATGAAAATTATATTAGAAAACTAATTTATAACTTACAGATTATTCAAATCAATATTGATTAGTTTTTATTCTTTCATTCCAATTTTAAATATTATGATATTTGGATGTTATATTCGATCGTAATGCTCTTTACTGATGATAATTCAAGCGTTTGTTGATTTTAGATATAAAAGTAGGGCGTTTATCTTCCTTCCGCATGTATGGATCACCAAATACATCATAAATCAAATTATTCAACATAATTTATATATTCGTAACATTATACATATCGTAAAATTATTTTATGAAATTATGCGAAAAGGAATTATATATGAGATTATATTTCATTTCATGAAAAATATCTGTCTTTGTATAAAATCATTAAATAAGGTGAAATCATAAATTCTAATAAATTTTACTTTTTTCTTTTCATTCTCACAACATGAAATATAATGGATAAAAATAAAGAAAAAAAGAAAGGAAGCAATTTTAACTCTTGCCGTAGCTCGTTGTTGACCTATATACCAGTTAACGTATTACTCGAATCTTATCATTAAACATTACCACTATTGTAATCCTAAAAGATCGAATTGCTCTATCGATCTATTAAAATCATCTAACATCATTGTTATTTATGGAAAATAAATTTTTCCTTTTTCAGTTCTAACAACAAATTGCACATTTTTTTTTCTTTAATAATAATAGATAACAATTAATAATATTATAAGCTCAATTAGCTTATCAGATTCGAAATCTGAAAAAAGAAAATTTCATATGCATCAATCTAATGAAACAATTATACGTAACAATTACAATTATAATAATCTATTTTATTCGGGAAATTAAATACTAATTACTTCCAATATAATAATAATTATAATATAATTGTCAGGATAATAAATCATTACCTGTAACATAAAACTCTCAAATTGATCACTAAACATTATTAAAATCTTCAAGTAATTATACCTAATTAAATTTAATAATTATAATTATAATAATATACTGAAAAACTCTTATTAATTATTAAATACTACCTCTTCGTTCATCAACAAATTTACTTAACTTGCCTTCCTTTTCTTTCAACCATATCCTTCAATTACCAGCAAATATCTTCCATATTCGGTGGATTACAGTTTTTAAAGCAGATTTCGCTTCGCTGGCAATTTTTTTTATTATTTTCCTTTTTCTAATTAATCCTGACACGAAATTCCGAATTTCCGACGGAGGTGGTTAGACCACCGAGCTGCTTTACATTATCGATCCTTATCCCTCCTCTCTTCCTCTCATCCCGGCTGTATAGAGACTTCGGCTTGCTTGTTTTCCTTGGAACCCAGTTTGAACTACTAAATTTCCATTTTCACTCGACACGAAGTGAATTTTCGTCGTGCGATTCCTTCCTTCGTTCGCGTCCGTTCAACCTGGTTCCGTGGCCACGATTTCGAATTTTCTCGAAGCGAGAGAAGAGATATCGTAGTTGTTCGGAAGCTTTTCATTAGATTTAATGTATTCCAGATCCGCTTCCTCTGGAAGAGAGCCGACAACTTTTTCCTCCGTGTCTATAAGAGGCTGAGAATTCGTGCTCTCTCATCCGATGCACTGGAGACCGGTTGCGCCCTCTCTCCTTCTGAGAGGGTTACCTACTTTCCGTATGTTTGACACGTTAATGAGACCGCCATTGTGTTTTTGAGTTGTCGAAATGAAGTATTTTTTCGAGAGAAAAATTTGTTTGTGAATTATATATTTCTATCTTCTTAGATCTAATTTTTTTGAACAATGATGCTTCAATCGAATTTGAATTTTTTTTACGGCTTTTTTGAATAATGGTATTTTCATTAAATTTTAATTTTAATTTATTAATTAGTTAATTGTAGTTTTATTTATTTAGATTATGAAAAATTAACAAATTTCATAAGTTATTATTTTTTTAATTATATATATATTAAAAAATAAAAATTTAAAAAATTAAAATATTAAAAAAAATATATATATATAAGTTTTCTATTTGCAATTATTTTATTTATCTCATTGGATGGGAAAGAACTTAATTGCGTTTAATTATATTTATTTAATTAACTAGATAGAATTAATTTTTTTTATCTTCAAAAAAATTATTTTTCTGCATCTTATTATTTCTTTGATAATATGATATCCGTGATTCTTTAGCAGTTCTTTAGCATAGTTTCAATGATACAATCTTTAGGCACAATCTACGTTATTTCTGATAGTGCAT